AATACTTAAGAGAAATATTTAAACTAAGGAGAGAGGCAGAAAATATCCATTCATTCTGGTGAAATGAGTCCATAGAAATGCAGTGCTTGGGACCTTTTCAAGAGAAAAAAAACGCATGGCCAATAATGATTAAAGCAAGGTATAAGGTATTTGCAAATACATCTGTATTGTTGCAGATAATTTCTTTGTATTTAAGAGTTTCTGCTCTAGTAAAAGTCAGTCCCAAAATGCCACAGTTGCTTGTTACTTGTGGAGTTCTTAACCTACACAAGAATAGTACTTCCCTCTTCTTTCTTTTTGTCAGATATTTGTAACCTGGCATTAAAATTAGCAATAAAAGCCACACAAAGCTACTACAAAAGAGGAAGATTCTTGACCACGCATCATAGCATTCGTGTGTCTCACTTTTTTGAATTTTTCCCTGAGATAGGAATTGGCCCAATGTCCTCTGACAACCAGAAGTATTTACAAAGCAAATGAAATTTAGGAAGCACTATAATGACTAGAAAATGCTGTGAGGGAGCATAATGAATGTATCAGCAGAGGATAATTACCGCAACTGAGGCATGTTCCTGTGAAATTCCAGAGAGAAAAGAAAGAACTCATTAAGTCTTTCCATTTATTCAAAAAGAGAAAATGAAGTTTTTTAAAGACATCCAATGATACTGGGAGGTGAACAAAAACTCTATGCAAAGACTGAACCATAAGCTTGCCCATCCAAAGAGAAATCAATTTGTTACTAACAGAAAAGCTAGGAATTTTTACTTGAATTCAGTGATTGCAAAATGTGATAGATTAGCAGGTTTCCACATAAAGTCTCCCATTCACGAACAAAAAGAGATGCAGCATTGAAAGACTGAGGGCGAGCTACCTTCATCATTAGTAGTGCCCTTTACATCTTGATGGAAACATACAGCGCTATAGTCTGAGGCGTTCATTTGCTGACTTCTCCTTCAGAGTGGCAATACAGGGCCTTTACAATTAGTTTCACGTGGGGCTGCACTCTCTATAGGAAGAAAATATACCCAGTAGGCCCTGGTCTATTTATCTCAGAAAAGCAGTGCTAATAAAGGGAAAACAAAAACAAACACAAAAAACCACTAAAAAAAAATAAATCACTCAAGGCTACTCAGAATATTTATGAAGTTCACATGGAATCTGCCAAGCACTGAGAGTTCGCATATTTCTGGAAACAACTGTACTTTCTCAGTCTGGAAGAAATACAAAGATATTAACTAATTATTTATGGGGTAACCAATTATTTTGTACTGTATATCTAAGACTGAACATCATGAAATGCTTATTAGTTGAGCAAGCAGGACAGTGGAGCAATTGGTTTTGGAATGGAACGAAGCCAAGGAGTTGGACAGAGAAGCACCCTTAATGAGAATAATTCACTAACATAGACACAGTATTGCTCAATTTACCTAGGCATTACACATCTGACCAGCAAAATTTTGCAAGTGCCAGAAAATAACCTTTACATTGTTACTGGATTGAAGCAGAGTGGTCTGGAGCTGCAAGTGCTTAGCTCGGCAATTTTTAAGAGACAACAGACAGTAGTTGAAGTTAGAAAATCAAACAAGGAACGAAATTTTTGCCTCAGGAATGTACAGAATACAGAGCCTCCAGAGTGCCTTGTGTGCCCTCCTTTCCTTGCAGACATAACACTGCTTTACCCTTTCCTACTGTATTGTTGGTCTGGGTCAGCTTAGATGTGTGACTCCTGGCTGGGCTCAAATGTCCGGGTACACAACAGTGATTCTCCTGTAATTTCTATCTTATTTCCAACAGCAACAAAAAATACATCCACTTAAATTTACATCTCATTTGCCAAGGAAACACTAGTTGGGAAAGAGCTCTGTATTCAAAATGAATGTTTGAGATAATTCCTTGGGAGGATATAACTAAGTCATGGTCCACGATTTATTCATTGTAAAAGCCAGATTCACAGTGCCCAGTGTTTCTGATGGGCTGTTCAGCATCAGGTGAAAGCTACCTACTCCAGTCCTTCTTCCATCGTGACTTGGTAACCAGGCACAACCGTCCCCACAACACATGAACATTTTATCCGACAGACATGGTATTCCCACACACATACATCCCACTGTGTCACCAGGATCGCATCTCAGGGAACAGGACTAGGGAAGACAGCATGGATGGAAGCTACCTGCCAAAATGGTTTGTCTGCTCTGTAATCCCACTGCTTCAGGAACCAGAGTAGTACAAAATGGCCTGCAGCCAGGCTGATTTCTTTCTTGATGGGCCTCATGCAACCTTCTATTAGCTGGCAAGCCTGAACCAGAACATCAGAGCTTGGGTGAGAGGAGATGTGGACAAAAATGTAAAACCCTCCCAGTTCACTGCTATACCTGAAAGAAATCCAGCTGAAAATCCTAAATCAATTTAATTTAACCCTAAAAGGATTGATTAATTTTCTCTCACAGTAAGATCATGTCTTTGAGCAGTAGAGGTTAATAACAGATAGTGTTGCATACTTCCACTAATTTTCTCTGGTTCCTCATTTTTTAACTGAAATCCATAAAGAGGTCACAGCAATAACTAGAGATTATCTTCTTTCTATGCCAATTACTGAGGTGCTGGGAGGATAATTTTCAGGCTCTGACTGATTTTCCAAAGTACACTAGAAGACCTGATTTTCCTTCCTTCTCCATGCAGGAAGATAAGCAACTGCCAGGAGGGGGATAAAGCAAGAGGCTTCTATCTTTGCTGAGAGGCTTAAATACAGGTTCATAGCACAGGTGTATAAACTGAGTAGAAGCTCTAACAGGAATCTATGTCAAGAAGAAGAAACTAGGGCTGAGTGTTTTTTGCCCTGGATCAAAGGTAAATGAGTATGAGAGGTCAGTATTATTTGAATCGACCCAACTGCTCAAGTGATCATGTTTGTCCTCTTGCTTCTTAAGAAGAAGAGTGAATATGAAAAACCTGTTAAATATGGATTTGAAGAGTGCCCTACTCTAATAATGAGGCACAAATATTCTCTTTTATGCGGATCAAATACCCTATGATAATTTGTAATTATTTGTGTTTGAAGCTACAAAATCTGTCCTCCAAAAACAGAGGACAAAATGGGATCTTACAGATATCTAATGTATAGTTGAGTGAGTTGAGTTACTGGTTTAGTGGCTTTGCCCCAAGCTGCATTATGCTTTACCTGCATCTGAATGGTACTCAGGTAAATGAAAACTCTTAAAATAGTCACTTTCAGCTCATCCTTGCAACTAAATGCCATCTGATCAGAACAATCACAAGAGAAACATAGTTGACAATTTTCCCACATGGACACCTTCTTCAGGAAACTAAGAGCTGATTCATGTCCTTTAATTAAGAAAGCAGTAAAAGTTATAACCATTAAAATCCAATTTCAGTGTCTCTCTTGGAACAAAGGTAAGTAATCATGCTCTCTTGTCAAGATTCCTGTTTTGATGTCCAACATTGTTCCTGTTGAAAACCCAGTATATTCCTGACTAATTTAGAAATTAAAAACAAAAAAAGAAAATAAAACTATTTTCAACTTCTAGCTTTCATTCTTTACCGTGTAGCCTTTTTGTCTCAAGCAAGCACTGTAAGAATATTCTGCTTTATTTCCTGCTCAAATGATGAGTCCTCTCTGAGACGTCCAGGAACGTGACCATGGAGCACATAGGATTATAATGACGAAGCTGCACTTACTGATTCCTTGCTATTCACACTCTTTCCATTGGGTGTTGCTATGATATTAAACAGATTACTACTGGGACTCAATGTATGCATACAGAAAGGCACATCAAAGGTTTAAGGTCTCTGCCTATGTTGCTTTGCCCATTGTTCTATGCAGCCCGAGTCTGTTGTACTTCACAAAGTTGGTGGTGTACTTCATTAGTTGGTGTTGAGAAAAATTGTCAGTGACTACTTTTGAAAAAGAAATCCATAAAATGTAGTCTTACAGCTTGTACTAAAAGTTTTATGCTCTTTCATGAAGGTGATCTGACTAAAATTTATATGTACATTGCAGCATTCAATTACTGTACACAGTAGCTGTGCAGATGGCTCTCTTTTAATTAGAGTATTTAGTGCATCTTCTGCATAAAGAACCAGGCAATGAATAAGGAGGAATTTAATGAAAGTAACCAAAAAGGGAAATCGTTTAATGGAAGTTAAAAAGAAAAAAGAGAATAACCTAGGATGCAATTCTTGCAAGGATTTCCTGTTCACTGAACGTAGCCCTTCAGACAATCTGAGGGAGAAATCTTTGCAGATTTGTGGCCTTGGGGAGGTCTTGTCAAGCACTAAGAATCAGGCAACTGATCACTAAACTTTGCACAGCTGATGGCCACAGAGATGACAGCTGAAGATTTTAAAAGCAAGATAGTGGCTGGAACTTGGCTTTTGATGTCACACCGACACACCAATGAATGTATTTGATGGGTATTGTCAGAAAATGGCAGGATTTCGTTAAGTTATGACAAGTACAAATGGTATAAAATCACTTCATATTTCAAATATCCTCAGTTAGTACTAACGGCTCTTGCTGTTAATACTAGTAACAATAACTAGTAACACTAACTAGTAACTGTAAAGAATACAAAGTTACTACAACCTGAAATCCTGGCTACTTTATAACCTATAACGCAGTTGCTGATTTCGTTGTATTTCTAGTTTGTTAGAGAAGCACCGGCATTTACTTATGTGGCTTTTGCTCCAGTTGGAAAAGAAATCCCACATAATATATGCATTTAAAAGGGAAAAAATGCAGTAAGACAACATGATTTTTATATGCACTTAAATTTACTGCTGTCAGGCATAAATGTTTGAATAATACAAACTTGGCAAAGGAAGAAGTTGCTTTGGGTCATAAAGGATAGGCTTCAACCAGGGAGGTCATACGCCCTCTTAGCAGGACCAGTCATACAAGCCACTCTCAACATAAATTCCAACATTTCTGTATTCGAAACTCTTAAGTGAATTTTAAATTTCATATTAATGGCTAGACTTACCTGGTAGACCGGGTGGGGTTTTCAGATATTTGCCATTAAAATGCTGAATTACTACTTCACATTTTTCTGTAGACTCCATTCTGGAAAAGAGAAGAGAGTAGGATGGGGGTAGAGGCAATACATGTTACTAGACTGTTACGAAAGTGCTCAGTCAGCAAAAACAAAAAGCAAAAGGAGAAAAAAAAGGACAAGCACAGATTCTGAAAGAAATCTTCAAAGCTGCTCTTGCTGATTTCTGCGAAGAAACTGGTTGAGCTCATTACAGTACGGTGGGGCTTGCGAGGAGGACCTGCCACCCTCAAGGCCTGCAGCTGCGCTCCTGGCTGTGTGTGAGCCGCAGCAGTGTCAATGAACAGTCCCCTTTTGGCTCCAGGGGATCACCCTGAACAAGGACATTCTTTATGCTCTCATGTGCTGCTTGGAAAGGCAAAGGATGTGTTTCTAGATTCCTTGTGCACCCAAAATAACTTCAGATGACAGGAAAAAAAATATACAGGATTTGGGAAAGAACCCAGAGGATTAAGCAACAATAATTAGGGATTACAATGTTAAAAAATAACCTGCAAAGACAGACTGTATAGCAAAACCAAAACCAATGCATATATGCCTGTTACAACATAAAGCCAAATTTTGGGTGAAGACAGTAATTTACATGTAATACTGGTAGGTGAAATGCCTTACTTTCATCTCATATGATCTGGAGATAACTTTCAGCATTGAGATGTTAAAGCATTAACAGTGAACTGGTACATATATTATTGAGGGAATTGTAAAGAATACAAAGCTACTAGTCAAATCCCAAACCACGGTTATACTACATCTGGGAATTCACCATTCTTTCAGTCTAATAAATTGACTGCACACTAGTCCAGAGAACAGCTGACTTTGCTACAGAGTGGGCATAGAAACTTTGACGAGAGGAAAGAAAGAAATAGAAAGCTAATAAGCAAGCAAAAAGAAAAGTCGTACTGCTTTTGTTTTTCTTAGAAAAATTGTGTTTAAAAACCATCTTCAATGCTCCTTCAATACACCAGTGCTTACCTCCAGGTACACTCCACAAAATAACTCCACTGACATAAATATTGCTTACTCCTGACCAGTCTAGATCTTTTAAAATTAATTTATCCACCACCCTTCCTGTCACACGGTTTTGGGAAAATGCAGCCTGCACAGAGGAGCGGTTTGTCTCCCAGCGTACAAGTTTGCCAGAGTTCAAAGGGCCACCGCACCAGCACCGATAATAATACTACTACTACTAACAACAACAACAACAATAATAATATCCTGATTGCCTGATTAATTCTCCAAGCAAATCAAAGTAATTTGTCAGTTTATTTCAGGTGGAATCATTAAAAATTTGCCCTTCCAGGTTGTATCATTTCATATCACATGGGCTGGGCCATTTCTACAAGCACAAAGACAGCAACTTAGATTGTTCACTTTGGCTTCATTCAGATTTAACTAAGTGAATGTCTGTGCTGAGCCTTTAGAGACTCTTGTCTCTGAAAGAATAAATGCAATAAAAGTCTGTTTTCTGTAGCTCCAGGCTCTTGGTGTCAAACCATGTTATGTTGCATCACACAGCAGTGACAATTTCATTTTAATACATGGGGTACAATTTAACAAGCCAAAGCAGTCCCTGCAAAGAATGCAATATATAAGCTGCCAAGTGAAGGAGACTCAGTGCACTTCATGCATTTTATGTGGGAAGAGAATAAAAGTGAAATCCACAGTGTTCTGGGATAAAAAGGCCACCATTCGAATAGCACTCTGAAAAGGAATGCGCACATTTTCTTCTCAAGTTTCACAATTAATGGCTCTCAAATGCCACTGCTAGCTATCTGTAATCTGGCACACGCTTCGCTTGAAACCAACACTGGCATTATCGACTCAGTTTGAAAAGGCAGCACAATAGACAAAGCCGTCTATACATGTTTCCTTCAGATTTGTCGCTGAGTAACACTGCACCCATTCCTTGTCTCCCCTACCTGAGTCCCCTGCACGCTTTCTGCGACACGTGCCTGTGGGGTGGACCTTCCTCCTGGCCACATCGAGGCTGGCCAGGCAGCCACTAACTCACCAGGATGGCATCTACCCCAGGGCCACCTAAGTATGAATTATAATTTACACTTGTCCACAATACCTGTTTTTTTGGAAATAACCTTTTCTAATTGTGTTTGTCAGGATGATTAGCTCTCTGACTGACTGGGAAGAATGAGTGGTATAGAGCAACCAAATATATTACTAAAATTATCTGATATTTGCCATCACAAGACCCCGGATTTAGTTTAGTTAAAACTCTGATCAACATCAACCACTTAGGTGGCAATGTCTATGGCATGTGCCTACCCATGAGCTGAACCTGTCTGCACACATCCATTCAGACATTCCTCTTTCTGTTCTTACTTGGTTTAGCCATAAAGACTAGGCATACCTGGGAAAAAGGCCCAATAATAATACACTTTTCTTAGGTCTACACTAATAAATTCTACCTACTTTTTCTTCAAAAAGCTGTGGCACTCCTCTATTGCAGAAGGTATTTGGAAACTCAGGGGAGATGGACAAAATAAGATTTTTGTCATGAATTTATTCTTCGCGTCTGAGATAGAAATGTTTCAAAATGCTGGTTGAGACTGGTATTTGATAAAATTATCATTAACAGGAATGTTACATATTAAAAGTTAGCCTCCAGGGGACAGGTTTTCTACAAAAGCATGTCATTGGAGCACAGGCAAACTTGGGGGAAGAGGACTCTTAAATCCATTTTTTCAGTGTTAGGGTTTTTTTCATAATTGATAGAACAAAAATGTGGCAAATGATAATATTCTGGAGAAAAGATAAACATCTTAGATGTTTCAAAACCTTCTACTGAAAGATACAGATATTCAGCTCTCCTGCTGGAAAGGGGAGGACATCAGCTTCACATGGTAATAGAAATTTGCTTCGGATCAGATCACTCATGAAGTATCATTTTCAAATTCCCTTCAATAATGTGATTTTGGTGCTGATCCTAAGAGGATCTTAGATAACAATTCATGTTTAAATGCAATTTGGAGATAACTATAATGAATCTGAGTATTATTTTGAATCAGGAAATACACTGCAGAAAAAAATTTATCAAAGCCATAGGCCAGATTCTTATGATATCTTTAAAGGTAAAGATAACAATCTAAAACAATGAAACTAACAAAACTATGAGAATTTATTTTCATCTGTGTCTATATATCTCCAGGTTCTGGAAACTAAGTTGTAAAGTTCCCAAATACAGTATGAGTAACTAGACTGTCCATATTCTATCCAATTTGAAAGGAAGGGAATTTAAGAAAACACTGAAAAGAAAGACTGATTTTATGATTTTTTTTCTAGTCATAGTTTGCAAATTTAAGATATTCCAATATGATTAGTAAAAGAACAAAATTTGGGGGTGCTTAAGCAAGTATCACAACTAAGTAATTTGCCGTTCACATCTTACTATTAAATATTTATTTTAGGTAATTCAAAAAATGTTTATTACTCTCTCTACAGACCATAGTGGCTCCAAAGTAGTCATTATGTGTTGTTACAAGTAATAGGGAACTTTTACCAGGAAAAAAAAAAAAAGGGAAAATTAATTTTTTTTAAAAAACTAAAGCTCTTACAGATGCTTATTATAAAGATTGATGCAGTGTCAAGAAACAACTTAATAAAATTTATATACAAGGAATAACATTATGATTACATAATTATTACATGAGAAATATTCGGTACCATGTAATTACCAGGTAGGGGTAAAATGTGGGTTTGGTTTACATATATCCTGTAGTCACTCTACTTAATAATAATAGTAATAATGTAAATGAGAATCAGGACTCCATTTTTTTATATCCAGAGTAAATATTTAAAGATTAAATTGTTACTACCACATTTATGTTATGATCAGCACAGGAATATTGTTGTTTTCTTATATTTATAAGAGCAGGAATAATAAATCTTGAGGGGCAATGTTTCTTTACTATATAAGGCATTTTGCAAAGATGGAAGTCGGTAGGTAGTAGCAATATTATACAGTGGAGGAGTCCAAAGAACATAGTTAGAATACACACCAGAGAACTCAATTTCTTTAGCATATCAAAAAGATGGCTAGAGGGGCAGTCTGATAGCAGTGCATAAGTACCTTTGCGGGAGAATAAACTAGGTACTAAGTAGTTCTTTAATCTTGCTGAGAAAGTTGTGACAAGAACCAGATAAATTTTAAAGAGAAATTAGGCAGAAACATTTAACTGCAAGGAAGATGATCCACTGGCACACATTAGAGAGAAGAGGTGGCTTTTTTTTCTGCTTGATGTCTTCAAATCTCTTCTGAAAGTTGTATTTTAGTAAAAGACAAGTATTATCTCAATATTAGGTAACTGGGAGTACTTCAACTGCCTGTGATATAAAAGAGGTCAGGGAAAATGATCTTCAGGTCTTAAATACTCTAAAGCTACAAGGTAGGTTTGATTAGTATGAGGTTTCTTAGCACCTCCTTATGTTCCACTCTTCATGCTTCTATGGCAACGTGTTCACTAATTTCTTTATTTTGCTAATTTAATTCCAGGAATTCTAAGACCCTGATATGGCTGCAACCTGTGATTTTCTTCTCTCCTGTAACTAACTTGGGTATCTTATGTCCCCAACTTTTCAGCTGGTAAGAGATTGCTTCAAGATGTTTGTGCTTTTTGGTTTGAATCGAATGCTGGAAAAACTGTTCCCTTTGTAATTTACAGCCTAGGAAGAGATACTAATTTTGACAAGTTCTCCTCATCGCTCATAAATTATATCTTTTCCCAAAATGTCTTGCCTGTACATTTTTCATGTTCAGTCCTGCTTGCATGAATAACAAGAAGTTGTTTACTATCTCAGATAAATATACAAAATCTGCAGAAACCACTTCAGTGAGGACAGGATAGGCTCCTCTTCTCTGGGAATATGGTCCATATTTACATCTCGCAGCATGACCCACCATGCCAAGGTGACTGTTTTGAGCTGCCTGAGTATCTCTGCATAGAGCTACAGTACTCTCCATAGAGAAACCTCTTTATTTCAGAAGAAAGCCAATATA